AATAGATCTTTTTAAACCCTACAACTTTTGTATTTAACATTTTTTTATACAACGCTTTGTTTTCGAGATATTCAGGTGTTCCGGTATATAATATTCACCCTGTATAATAAGTCTATGGCCATTCCTAAGTAGACTTGGAATCTCCGGTCTCCAAACAGATTAAGATTACAAATAATTCCAAATTCAATAGGACGTTCATTACATTAATTAATGTGTTGACTTGTCTCATTCCTTTCGCTTCTTTCCTGTGTCCCTCAAAATACACTGACAAAGGCATGGGGGACGCGAAAGATTGACTCACAAACAATGTAACTAACGTAAACAAATTAACATTGAATATTGCCTTTGGACGATGACGCATACTCGGTGCCCAAAAAACGAGAATATTGGTCCTGTAGTTGAGCTGACAATTGATATGTCTATCTTTTAGTAAGCTAAAAACATATCTAGATCGATTGCAAAAAACACTATTTTAATAGGAATTACATAAGGTAGGCCTTTTGTTTGTGAGACCATCCGTACACCCATTTAATCTCGGAAACAGAGCATTTTAGAAAAAAATTTTTCAAATAAAAGTTGTATGGCTCGATGGAGGACATAAAAAGATACCATTGGTTAGACCTTGGGTGGCGCTGCCAAGATTAGATGAAGATCAACTTTCCTTTTTTAGGTAGAAATATGTATTTTATCTATTACGGAATTTTATTCTACGTAAAGAAACAAACAACTTTTATTTGAAAAATTTTTTCATATGACCCCTATTTTTTAAGATATTTACGGAAATATCAACAAAATTATTGGTTTCAATAATTTTTTACTCGAACTTTATTAACTTTATCGAAAAACAGCAAGAGATAAAAATTGTTTATTTTCTTCTCATAGGGTTTTAAGAATTTTTTATTAACTTTTTAGTACTGCATTTTCTTGCATTTTTTGAAGTATTAAAAAGTTAATAAAAACATTCTTAAAAGATTCTCAGAGCTCTATGAGATAAAAATAATTTTTATCTCTTGCCATTTTTTTGTAAAATTGATAGAATTCGAGTAAGAAATTATTGAAACCAATAATTTTTAAATATTTCCATAAATATCTTAAAAAATAGGGGTCATATAAAAAATTTTTCAAATAAAAATTGTTTCTTTACGTAGAATATTAAATTCTGTAATAAAACATACATGTTTCTATTTAAAAAAAGCAAAGTTGACCTTAACCTAACCTTGGAGGCGCCACCTAAGGTCAAACCAATGATACCTTCTTATGTTCTCTATCAAACCATACAACTTTTGACTGAAACATTTTTTTCTAAAATGCTCTGTTTCCGAGATAAAAGGTGTGGTCTCAGATACTCTGTATATGTGTGTGTGTATACACACACACACACACACATATATATATATACAGAGTGTCCAAAAAGTACCGGAACGGCAAGATAACTCGGCGGGGGAGCATTTTAGAGAAAAATGTTTCCAATAAAAGTTGTAAGGCTTAAAAAGTCGCATTTAATGACAGTAGTTATTTGACCTAAGATGACGTCGCCAAGGTCAGGACAAGGTTAACTTTGCTTTTTTAAATAGAAATACATATTTTTTATTACGGCATTTTATTCTGCGTGAAAAAGCAAACAACTTTTGCTTAAAAAAACTTTTTATACGACCTCTATTTTCTAAGATATTTACGTAAATATCTACAAAATTATTGGTTTCAATAATTTTTTACTTGAATTCTATCAACTTTACCGAAAAATATCAAGAGATAAAAATTATTTATTTTGTTCTCATAGAGCTCTGAGAATTTTTTCAGAATTTTGTATTAATTTTTTAGTACTGCATTTTCTTGCATTTTCTTGAAGTACTAAAAAGTTAACATTCTGAAAAAATTCTGAAAAAATTCTTAGAGCTCTTTAAAAACAAAATAAGCAATTTTTATCTCTTAATATTTTTCGGTAAAGTTGATAGAATTCAAGTAAAAAATTATTGAAACCAATAATTTTGTAGATATTTACGTAAATATCTTAGAAAATAGAGGTCGTATAAAAA